ATGCTTAATCCATGAGAGATCTCAGCGTGAAGTTACTACTGAACATAAAATCAGGAGCTTCCTGGGTCATGAAGAGAACTCTACAGTAGATCATGTCATCGTGCAGTCCAGATTTAACAGTTCAGTTGGTAAACATAGACTGGGAAGTAAACTTATTGCCTAGATGTTTGCATTAGTATGTAGTAGGACTGGAATGCTACAACGCATGGGAAGAATGCTTAGTTTCAAAGGGCTAACATTCTGATGTACTCCGTACTAGATAAAACAAAAGGAATCACAGCGCCATACTAATAGACCCAAGAACTGTTTACTGTGCGCAAAGCCAGCAGCGACAAGGTTTATTACATACACGTTCTACAACGATTTACATACACGACAAACTATATCAAGACACTTCAGTGGTTGTTTCCTTTGGCAGAACCACGGCGATTAGACATTCGGTCGGTTGAGGCGGAAGGCCTAGCAGTCCAAACACCTCAGATGTGGGAGGAAGGATAAATAGCAGCCTCGACCCCATGGGCTTCACAGGAGCAATCTTTATGACCCCGGCGTACTTGTTCAGCTTCAGATAGGAGATGAAATCCCGGAACTGCGAGATGCAAAAGGTAATTATGCTTAGACAACTACTTTTTCGTCAAGTTGCAACGAAGCAATCTCTGACTATTACATTCTAAAAGTTGAATTCACAAGTTTTGAACTTGTAAATCCACTAAAGCACACACGTGATCTGCAAATTCATAAGTTTTCAACTTGTAAAGCCACTCAAGCACTTAGACGACATCTCAGAATTCTTAGGTGATGAGCTGCAATTAATACGACAGATATGCTGCTGTTATTCTGCATACTGCAGCTTATGCAGGCCAGCAGGTCCATATCTCTTCAACGTTCATTATTTGAAATTAACTCAACTCCAGAGAAAAGGTAAACCTAAGTCTACACGTCTTAGGGCAAAACAGAGGCAGACCAGAGTTGCTTAAAGTTCTCTTTGGTGCTTATAAACAGTAAAACTTGCACAAGATCATAACACCTATGACTCAAGATTAGAAGTCATGTAGTCGTAAATGTAAAACCCCAAAATGTGTGTCAGGAAAGAAACTACACCTATTGCCTGACTGGTGCCTGAACAGTATGGAATTATCGTCCCTGTCTGATGATATCTACACCTAAATGACACAATTTTGGCTTCTGTCAAGATGATAACTCTCTGGCTGCTCAACCACAGCTCCTAAAATGACAGGTATTGATCAAGTCATATACACATTTCCACCAAAGTTCCCCCTAGATAAAAGTGCCAGTATGGATCATACAGTCACTAAAGCAATATGCAAAATCCAGCATAACAGACTGATAGCTACCCCCATTTAATGCAATCAAATAAGTCTTGAGCCTGTCGTGTTAATACATATACTTGTTAAACAGCTGTGTTATCCAAAACTGCCTCGAACAAGAGAGTAAATTCCAGGTGCTACATGAATACTTCCAGGTCATTTGCGAGAGTAAATACAGCAGCAAAAGTAGACAGGATACATTTCATCAAACCAATCTCTCTAGTCTAAATCTATGTTGCGCGGATACTTCAGAAAGCGTGCGTATCCTGTCAGATACTGCCCCGATACGGCCCGATACGTATCCCGTAAGTATCCGTTGATTTTTTAATTTTAAAAAAAGAAAATAATCTTTGATACTCCAGGGATACTTCTGCGATACGTTTTGGATACCTCAAACCCCTTGTTCGATGTGAAATCCCCTCAATAGTAACCGCACACCTTTTGAAAATTCCCAAGATGGGCATGAGTTCATGTCAAAACATAACTGGCAATGTTCTTACTCAATTGAGATGTGACCAAGATAGAGACGGTGCACTGATTGGAACAACAAACCTAAGAAAATCCCACTGCTAATTGATGAAAGTGGACTAAGTGCAAGAAAAGAAAGGGGGTAATCCTACTGAGGCATTCTTTGACCTGGAAGCTCCTTATTTTTTTCCCTATTTTTAATAAATAATATATGTATTATCTATATATAAACGTATCCCCGTATCCATGTTTTTAGAAAATTGACGTATCGGGCATATCCCCGTATCGCGTATCCGATACGTATCCAAGTATCCATGCAACGTAGGTCTAAATTCAATTTCCGCCTCAAGTAACTATCATGTCAGTTCATCTCACCCTGCGAGACCACACTAAAAATTCTAGGTATTCCTATCTCTTTTATACTTGGGGCAATTCACAAGTATTTAGTTTTCATAATAAATCAATTACAGAAAGTGACAATAATTCCATCTGCTGTCTGTTTAGGTAATTATATTTTTTAATAGGTTATTATGTTCAGTATATGATTGATGTAGACGCATATATACAAAAGTAAAATGGTTTGAAAAGTAAAGGGATTGAATCACATAGCAGTTGATTTTGGTCATACCCCTTTCTGATCACCATTCGAACAAGGCAACAACCGACAGACTTCTTTCTGCAAAACGAAAAATAGAAGTTAATATTCTGTTATGCAAATTGAAGAGTATAAAAAAGGTGATCATCTTTTCTCTCTGCAACACACTATTTGAGCTCCTTAGCATCCTTAAAACATCTCTATTTAGTAAGAGAAACCATACAAGAGTTAAATGCCAGTATGGGTTGAAGGCGACACAGCCACAAAGTATTATTTACAAAATACATGTTGACTGCAGCCACAGCACTTAAGCAATTAAGATGTGGCGTAAAAAATATGTCGCCAGCCACATCACCTTAAACATCAAAACATAACCACCACACTCTACAACTTGACTAGCACTATTGCCTACAATCAGCTGTCAACATTCTGCTCAAAGCCTAATCACCTTGTTTTTAGTAGCAATAGCATATCCATTTATCATGATTCCCCACTTTAATCACCACTGCGAACTGAGTGAGACATCAAATTATGTTATTTGTAGGTTTCGTCACGGGCCTAGCCCATTAATAAAGACAACTGCTGGTAGGAGAGTTTTGGAGGACGTAGTACTCTGTACGTGTGGACGGACGCTGGACGCTGGACGCTCCAGTTGGCTTCTGCGGATGGAGATCGGCCGGTGTAGACCCAGCGTGTCACTTTGGTGCCTTGTGAGTTGCGACCCTGGGCGAAGCTACTTTCCACGACCACTTTGCATTGCGTCCTCTCGTCGTGCGAGCGCCTGCAGATGGCGGGACGTGTTTACTGCGCCATGGCTGGCGACCTGGCGTTTTACTTACTAATTGCACCGTTGCACGAGGCTACCTGGACGGGTTGTCCCCTCTACATTAGTGCACCATACATTTACTAACGAAACTCCGAAAAGCCGTCGGCGGGTAGCACGAACGCTGGCCCGTCCGTTACTGAATGGCGATCACACATCATTGACTGAATCAACTATGTACTAAACTTGCAAGATATGGAACGTGCTGACAGCTATAACATTGCATTGATCCAAAGATATCAAAATCCTTGCAAACATCACAACTATTGGTCGCACGGCCCTCGTCAAGTCGGTTATCTCCTCCCAAGCAGTGTACTCCATCACGCCTCTCATCGTGCCACCAAGCACACTTGATAACCTAAACAAGATTGAAAGAGCTTTTCTTTGGTCCGGTACGGACAAGACGACAGACGCCAAATGCAAGGTCAGTTGGAAAACGGTTTGTAGACCGAAGGAGTATGGTGGCCTAGGGGTGCTTAATACCGACAAGTTTGCACGTGCTTTACGGCTAAGATGGCTTTGGTATGAGTGGAAGGAAACCCGCAAATTATGGGTAGGATTTGGCAACCCTTGCACGGAGGATGATCTCAATTTCTTCTATGCCTCGGCTACCATCACCGTGGGGGATGACGCCAAAACAAGATTGAAAGAGCTTTTCTTTGGTCCGGTACGGACAAGACAACGAGCGCCAAATGCAAGTTCAGTTGGGAAACGGTTTGTAGACCGAAGGAGTATGGTGTCCTAGGGTGCTTAATACCGACAAGTTTGCACGTGCTTTACGGCTAAGATGGCTTTGGTATGAGTGGAAGGAACCCCGCAAATTATGGGTAGCATTTGGCAACCCTTGCACGGAGGATGATCTCAATTTCTTCTATGCCTCGGCTACCATCACCGTGGGGGACGGCGCCAAAAAGCCGTTTTGGGACTCCCCTTGGCTTCTTGGGTGCAAGCCCAAGGATATTGCACCACTAATTTTTGAGGCCTTGAGGAGAAAGAACTGGAAGGTTAGGGAGGCTCTCAAGGGACCACTAATTTTTTAGGCCTTCAGGAGAAAGAACTGGAAGGTTAGGGAGTCTCTCAAGGGGAATGCATGGATCTTCAAAATCAACTACAACACTGTCGTCTCCGGTGAACAAAATCGGGCATTTTTCACTCTTTGGATGCTTGTAAATGGTTTCCATCTTGATGAGCACCTCGAGGATGATATTGTTTGTTAGCACTCGAATGACGGGATCTACACGGCGGCCACCACGTATAAGGCCCAATTCCTTGGATTAACTCTTCCCCCATGGACCGCATGGTTTGGAAAGTTTGGGCTCCCCCCAAGGTCAAATTCTTTGCATGGTTGGCTCTTCAAGATAGGATTTGGACCGCCGATCGCCTGGAGAGACGAGGTTGGGCAAATTATGACCTTTGCCCTCTCTACAGAAGGGAGCAACAAACGGGTGCACACCTCGTCTTTAAGTGCCGCTACACGCTTAGGCTTTGGAGGTCAATCATCACCAAGCTTGGCCTTGCACACATGGATACCGCTGATTGGCACCTTGCCGATTCCGTCCACAAATGGGGGACAAGAGAATCGGCAATCATGCCACCAACCGGAGCACTATGACCTCCCTCGCCATGCTTACTACTTGCACCATTTGGAATGAGAGAAATGCTAGGGTGTTCTGTCACAAGTGCACGCCACCGCCTATCCTTCTTAACATCATCTTGGAGGAGGCAAAGCTTTGGGTTACCGGGGGAGCTAAAAGACTAAGGCTTATAATTTTGCGTGAGTAATTGTCATGCCGTGTATGTGGGTGATTTGTAAAACTCTAAACTCTATTCCCTCCTTATTTAATAGATGAGGCAAATCTTTTGCCTCCATTTCGGAAGAAAAAAATCCTTGTATTCAAGCATAAAGTCTTGTAGCCCAACGCCCATTGTAGATGATCCGATGCTCCCTTTCAATGCATCAAGTAAAGACATATATGCATGCTAGAATTTATAGGAGTTGCATTGTCGGCAGTGCCTCCTATTGCACTACAACCAACACTCTAGCGCACATGTAAGACTCATGGCACAGAAGAGATCGATTCATGGCCTAATTCCTTTTCTCATTCCTTTTCTGCTTGGCCTGTTCCTTGTATGCAAGCAACTTAACCATTCCAATTTTGTCTCCTGGATGGATAGTTGGATACAAACCTGAAAGTAAACATGCCAAACTTTTCATGGCCTAATTCAACAGGATATGCAAGCATGATTGATATGCATAACTTGCTGGACTCCTTTCCTTAAAGGACAGTAGATGGCAAACTCAGACAAAAAATTTGCAATTGTGTGAGCCCTGAATCTCTCCCGCAGAATTGGGCATCTCTCAAGGTTTGGACTCTTCCATTTGTAGGCCTCTCTTCCAAGGGAACATAATCAAAGCTCAATCCAAGTTCCCTTGTTTTGTTCAAAAAATCAGACCAATCCGGTTGTCTGACCGAAAATAATGGGAACCAGCGACCTGTCCAGTTTCATAGGACTAAAAGAATGTTTTAGAAGAAAATACGAAAAAATATTAAAATGAGTTGTTTCATGTGAGGATCGAACACCATGGTGGCTTCGTTTTGTGATATAGTGGTGGGCTACGCCCTTTATTATGTGTATATGAGTGTATCCATGGGATCTGAGGTCCTATTTTCTCATGTAAGCTTAAATATTAATTAAATATGACTGTTTTTTGCCGCCATTGAACCGGACGAACCAGTGAACCAGTCGCTCGACCGGTTCACTAACCATCTGGATTTTTGAAACTATGGTTTTGGTGCATGAAATTATCTTTCCAATTTGACCTCGTGCTCTTTCCTATTCTGTCTTAGCTGTCAAACGCACCGAATAGAACCCATACTTCCTTTAATGGTTTTGGTTTTCTTCCTTAAAAGTTGCTCGAGTCCTCGACATCTCCTGGATCAATTAAGAATCTATGTGCACCTGGGTGTGATTGATTCTTGCAGCCTGCAACACATGAATCTTGCTCCAATTCTTCTTGTCAACGTTGCTTTCTTTCCTTCCTCAGCAGCTCGCGCTCCTTGCTAGCTTCCTTCCTGACCTGCACCACACGACGCCTGCATATCCCCATTGCTTGCAATCACGTGCTTCAGCTGCTACCACAACTTGATGCTTCGCCTTCACTACTGAAACGGACCCCTCCGCTGTGTGGCTGCACTGGCTTTGCATCTTGTTGGTCCTCCTTTCTTGGCTGCGTCTGTTGCACCTCTGCTGCTTCTTGCGACCGTGCCACTGCCACCGCTGCATCATGTTTTGTCACCACCATTGACTTGGCAATGTCTAGTGCCGGATGATATAGGGAGTGACTCGGTACCAGGATATTGCAATCCTGTAAATTCGTGAAAGCTCGTGCTGCATCATGGTCTAAACCATATATTCAACGAAGACCATGATCCATGCCCTTGCTAGAAAATTTCTGATCGCCTCCACTTCTCCATAAGGATCAAAGACCTGATGAAGCACACTGTCAGCGGTAGGGTAGAGACATGAAGGATCCTTCACGATATCGTCTTGGCAGCAAAAGTCATGGTGGTCTGGTCGGCTCTTATACCAAATGTTGTGAACCTAGATCCACAACAGGATAACTACTGTGCTGAATATAACCAGGCAACGTGGCTGCAAGGGATTGGGTAGACATAGGTTGAGACTAGAGAACAACGGGAAGATCAGATTGATTGCTCTTGCTTGATTGCAAAGCAGATACACTCCATCCTTATCCTTATATAATGGATGCTCGGGTCTCTGACCTCTCCTAGTATGATTTGACTTATTAGCTCGTTCCTAATGCAATTGGACGCTTTCATAATGCTACGATTTCCCAATGGACTTTCATTCTTCTCTCACATGGACTCCTCCCATGCTGCTGCCCCTGCCTTGATACAGTGGACCCATGTTTTTCAGACAATCGGTGGAATGATCAGTTTCTTACAGAGACCGACATGCACGGGGCCTACATCTGTTGGGGCTATAAACGCCTGCCGCCTCCCACCTCCTACCTTTGTATCCAGAAGTGATGCTGTTGTCGAGGACAAGGATAGCAATAAATTTAAAGAACTGTCGAACTCAACTTCCTAAATGTTATACAAGATATTTTTCACAATTCATCAACTTCCAGAGGTCTGGATTCAGAACTTTCAACATTGAATCAAACGAATGAATACGTACTCTCAATTAGATGAGAACCAACTTTCATTCAGATGAGCCAACTTTCAGTTCATTACATGCCAACTTTGTAATCAAAACAATTCATGCTTTCAAAATCTATAGAATCAACTTTCAGCCCAAACAACTGGAGCTTTAACATTATAGAACTTTGCCTTGAATAAAACAAAACTGGCATACAAAAATACTAAGAAACAGACATTCCCACACCTTTTACGGCGCCGGAAGCAAGAAAAGAAAGTCAGACAGCAATGAAGACAAGTGAGGCACCTACAGCAGCGGAGTGTGGGGCCAGAGGAGGTGGAAACCAGCAGCGCTGAGGAGGTGCCCAACGGCAACGCAAGATCCTCGCTAAACCTAGAGTATCGGCAGACGCTGAAGGACATAGCACCGCCACCAAAGGAGGCAAACTCCGGCAGTCCGCAAGCTATTGAATTTACAAAATGCGAGTAGTAGAAAACTGAAGAACAAGGAAGAAAAGAGGAGGTTGGGAAACAAAAGGGAGAAACTGACCAAGGAATAGAAGAAATGAGAAACTGCTGGCCTTCACGGTATAAAGCACAAGTCATTTGTTGGGAACATCACCCATCAAATAGTGCTTTCGTATCTTCCAGGCAACAGACCCAAACAAAGAATGTTCCTATGTTTTAAAGGCGTCCCTAAGGCGACGCCTAGGCGACGCCTAGGCGTCGAAGCGCTCCCCCTCCGCTTTGGAAAATCGACCGCTTTGGGCGCCTAGGCGTCCAAAGCGCCCGCCTAGGCGTCGCCTAGGCGCCAAAGCGCCCCCCCCTCCCTAAGGCGGTAAGGCGTCGCCTTAAAAACATAGGAATGTTCTATGGCGCAGTGTCACAGTTTATATGTAAGTTTGCAGATTAAAAGCATATTTAGTGAAAACATGGCAATTAGTCAGAAAAAATTACGTGTTATGTACAAGAAAATGACACCCTTATCACTGCGACAACTTAAGAATCTTAAAAAATTTAAAGTACAAGTAGGTTAGATATATTTCTGAGTACATGACCTCAGAATCTTACTTTATTAGGTGGAGCATTGGAGATGATTGTCTTCGCGTGCTGGAAAGCTGTGCGCTTTAGAACATCTAATCTTGAGGGCCATCTGAAATGTGCAAACAAGGTTAACATATAATGTAACAAATTAGCAATGCGCAAATAAGAGTAAATTTATGTGAGCCTTACTCTGCTGGTTCAGAAACAGTACTTTCGTATCTACAAGCATCCAACTCTATTCTACTTGCATAGATTGTGCAGTAGTGTATGCCACTTTTTGTAAGAGAACCCTGCCATTGAGGATGAGGGCATGGCTTCTGTGAATTACAAGGATCAGTTGAAGGTTGTGCCGGAGGAGAACTTGGGGGTGGTGGAACAGAAGGTGGCTCGGAAACAGGTAATGGTGGTGGAGATAGTGGTGGAGGTGGCATATCTAGAGGTGTAAATGGTGAGGGAGCTACATTTGGTATAGGTGGTGGCATTTTCTCTGAATGCTGTGCTGAGCTTCCAGGAAGCTGTGTAAGAGGGGTGATACATGACGGTATGAAAGGAGGAGGAGCAGACGGAATACGGAAGCTACTTCCGGGCATCATGCGAGGAGAAACAATGCGAGGAGAAACACGGCCGAAGGGTGGATTTGGTGTAGTGTTTTCCCATGGACTGCCCGGACCAGGATATACAGGACGAACAAAAGAAGTTTGGATAGGAGGTGGTGGTGGTGGCATTACAGAAGAACGATGTGCGGAAACAGGTGGGCAGGGAGGCATTCCTTGTGGAGCCCTGTTTGACTCTAGATCCTTGTACTGCCATAATTGTTGTGTACTGGGAGGTAGTGGACCTGCACACCAAGCAACGGATTGTTACATTGGAACTATATTATGCACAAGCTTGCAAAGTTTCTGTTTCGTTAAACAATACTGACCATATATTGGCCGATCCCCTTGTACTGTGTAACCTGTATGATAAGCTGAAACCCTTGGATTCCTGCATATGTTCCCATCACTCAAATAAGTATAATTGTCATGCAACATGGCAAATTTTCCCTTGTGGTGTGTAAACATCATAAATAATATACATAAATTGGTATTGGTAAACTAGAAAATTATGTCTGCATGTTATATAAATTAAATAAGAGGGCACCGTGTTCTGATGCTTTCGAGGCACCATATATTTCTGATTTATTTAACATAAGAGGAAGGCATGGTAATGAGTGTTCAAGTATGTGTTTAAGTAAATCCTAGATGCAACTTCCGTGATTGCAATTGCAAGCTGGTATTAAGAACCATGAGTTGTGAATTATAATTTCCGCTACTCATGTTTGTTTGTATGTCGTTTCCATATGCACTGCGTGATTGCAGTATGCCAATATCAGCTATAACCTACTCCCTCCGTTCCGAAATAATTGTCTTTCTAGCCATCTCAAATGGACTACAACATACGGATGTATGTAGACATGTTTTAGAGTGTAGATTCACTTATTTTGCTCCGTATGTAGTCATTTGTTGAAATCTCTAGAAAGACAATTATTTCGAAACGGAGGGAGTATATGTATGTAGCATATTTTGAACATGTAACCAGATCCAATGATACAATACCCCAAGAGGCATGAGCATGTACTAGTGGTGGTAACACTGCAGAGTACCCCGCTACTCTCCTCGTAGGATACTTATCAAAAGCTCAATTTTGTACTGGATCGGGAGCAGAGTGAATCTGATGTACTCTGTACTTAAGGACTGACAAATAAATAAATAGTGCATATGAAAAAACATAAGGCAGCAACAATATATGTGTAGTGCTAACAAAAACATATGCATAGGCTCACAACCGTAGTGCCACAAAACACACCAATTTCCCATGTAACAATCACATTGACAAAAAAGAGGTTAAATCAAGAAGTATCTTCCATGGTATATTTAAATTCGAATGTTGCATCTTCATGAAATTCTAGTTAGATGACCAGAAATAACATGCTAAAAATAGGCAGACAAAACATGCCCAGTTGCATATCTAAAGTTGACATGTTTATAAATATCATGGGATGGTCCCACAATCACGTTAATCTGACTGAGAAGTCGTCCAAAGAAGAGACATGGTCATAAAGCATGTTTTGGGATCTATGTTCTAATCAAATTAACCACCAGTGACTTCTATGCTTTGGTTTAGCTTGTCGATAACCGTCCATGTGTGGGACATTATCTTACCTATTATGTTTCTGTTATGGTCTCATAGTATGGTAGTTTATCTATTTAGAAAATCTATGTGAACACCAAATAACAACAGGTCCAACCAAGAAACTATCCATGTAAGAGCTAGAAAAAAAGGCTAACCTGATCTCATGGTGACTGCTGCTGTCCGGAAGGTTCTGGGCTGGCATTCGAATAACAGGTGAAAATGTTTTGTCGTGAACAGTTCCTACGCTGCATGTCCTAGATTCAACACTAATCAACTTCAAGCCAAACCTTGCACCATGCATCTGCGACTTTGCACAGGCAGCAGCACTGTGTGATTCATAATCTATCAAGCAGCTCCCATCAATCCGATTAAACTGCCACCTACTGACCTCACCAAATCGTGAGAAAGCATTGATAAATTCCGTCTCAGGGATTGACTTGTCCATGTTATGTACCAAAAGTTGATGAATAGATGTATTCTTATCCTGGGAACAAACATCTGAATGAGCTTGGCGCCTAATATGGGCTTTTGCAACAGCTGCATCAACTGATGTCTCAAATTCAAGAATGAAAGCATTTTCGCCGGAGATATCGATACAGGCACATGGCCTCTTCAGGCCTGCTGACTTCAATTCATTGAACACCTCATCTTTTTCTTTCTGATTCTTGACTTTACCAACATAAATATGGCAGCTTTCACCAACAGCTATACCACCAACAAATCCCTTGCTACCTATAAGTCTATCTAAATACCTTATTTGAAGATCACCACCCCAAATAGAGGAGCCCCGCATATATCCACATGCCCGAACAGCGTGCACTATGTTTCCATATTCAATCAAGGCAAATTCTTTGGAAGGATAAAATAAAAAGTTCGTTAATGGGCCAAACTCCTCGAATTTAGATCGAACTAGTGCCTCTGCAGCACTATTTCCCAGTGAACCAACCCAAAGTTCCTTTGAGACCGAAATTACATCACTCGAGACAGAAGCAACATAAAGATCAGGTCTTGCACTCTTGCGGCCACCAGTTTTCGCATCTGCTAGCTTCTCAGTTTTCACATCATCTGTCTGCACAGACTTTAATACATGGGTATCAATATTGACAGTTTTTTCTCCTGCACTTTTGTCGGGCTTCTCCAGCACTGATGGTTCACAGTCCATGGAACTTTTATCCTCATCGAGTTCTGATAAAGAGCCCAAAACTTTTAAACAAGATGATACCTCTGAAAGCACAGTAGATCCACAGGAATCGCATAATTTTTTGTACCTCCGCAGTATCCAACCTCTCAAAGATGGATGTCTAGATATTGCCTGCTTGAATAAAAATAAATAAATAAAAAGGTCCCTGCAACGTGAAGCAAAGCTAGAGGACAGGATTTTACCACATAATTAAGTGGAGGATTGCAACGAAGACCCAAGAGATCACCAACTCATTATCTACTCCTAAGTGCCCGTGCACTTTTTCCTCCCCTCATATTTTCTTATTTTTTATTACAAAAAAGAAATCATTCCATTAATATTCACAAGAGAATAGTGACTGTTGGAAGGGCAAAATCAGTTCATCCCTATCCACACAGAAACATGAACCAAGGGTCTACGTCAACACCCAACCATAAAAAAAAGGGCAGGAGGTAACATAGGTACTCACACGGCCATTAGGAAATTGTGAGTTGCTGAGTCATAATTTTATAGTAACGCTAGCTTAAGTCAACATAAATAATCAATCTCTAAAAGGCATGCATAATATATCCTTTTCCCATAGCAAATCTGGCTAATAAATTTCTGACTTAACCTTAAATGTCTGCAGACCATCATTATAAACAGGAAATGAAAAAACAGTGCTTGATTCAGGTTCAACTATCCATAACCAAACAAATGTATGAGCCGAAGTAGATGGGTAACCAAATTAATCAGTTTCAAAATGTTCTCTGGAGTTACCATTGTACGCTACAACCCATTATTGTTTCTATTGTGCAAAACCCAAATGTACCAAAAAGGTGAAAATGCTTCATCAGCCAAAAATGTACATACCATTGTGATGTAACACTCATTTGATTCTACCATAGACCTTCCTGAAACACCAGACGCATCAGAAGAAGGCTTTGAATCAACAATCTCTTTGGTGCCAGACAGATCTATTTCCATCTCAGTACACTGCGAAGCCACATCAGCCTTATTGTCCAGAGCAAGATCTGAGATATCATTGCTCACATTGCAGGTCAGCTGATTTAAAAAGTACAGTCCTCTTATATGGTCAGTTTCTGCAGAAGCAATCAACGCAAAACACGCTTCTAGTAGATTCTCTGGGGATAAAAGAAATATGCATAGCAAGGATTGTGCCCTCAGTTCAAACAAACAATCATGTGCCAGTTGGCTGTCATCCCCTGACTCCTGCTTTAAAATATCTAATAACTCCATGGGGTCCTGAAGCTTTGAAAGTCTTCTGGAGCCTATATGATGGATATCCTTCCCATCAAATGTTGAAATGAAGAAAGTGAGGACAGTCATATAGACTGCGGAACAGATTCCTGTGATAACAGATGACTTGGGAGCTTCAAGAGATGCTGTGGAGCATATGTCAACTAAGCCAACAATACAAGCCCTAGCAGTCTGATATGCCACGCCATCTGCATCCTCCCCTCTTGTTACAATGGCCAAGTTCCAATTGTACATCTTGATGGAGACTTTAGCTGCTGCCTCAAGTGCAGTAGGACAATACGAGGCATATTGAGGAATCAGCTTAGCTAAGATACGTTGTACACTTGTGCAACCTGTATGGATAGACGAGGAAAAGAATGAAAACGGTTTCTGAACATGTTAGGAGATAACCGCTTTCACTATAAAGATTTCAGTCTTGTAACCAAGTACATATGCACTCTAAAATAAATTTAAATAATGTGAGAATACAGAGAGAGAGCTTGACAAAGGTTTGGCCTAAATAAAAAAGTAGAGCAACTTGGAAACAAGGTTAATACGATGCATATCTGCCCGTCCAAGCTGTTGGGTGCCATAGATAAAACTGGTTACAAAAGAGTACTTAAACATGACGCTACCAAAAGAAAATTTGGGCATCTGCAATTAAGCTAGGAAATATTACTATTTTGTTCTCCAGTCCCAAAGATATTACAGGTCCTG